TTAAAGAACTTTTGTGCTCCGTACATTTGTTTTTCGTGACCATTTTAACAAACACACGACGCATATCGCTCCACAAAACTGCTGCTTATGCCATTTGCTAATTGGGCTTTAATCAGCCACCATTTCCAATAGCCCATCGTTGCCGTTTGGCTAAGTTCTAAGCGCAAATCGACAAATTAAGAGCTTCAAAATAATGCAAATTATTTTGATAAAATTCAGAAACACATTCGATCGACAATTGAAAAACTGAAATCTCTGACCATAATTAAAACGCCATTGTTGCCGAGCCAATGAACATACACACACACATTTATATTAATATATGTATACGAGTATATAGAACGACGGCTGCATAAATTAAGTGTGGCGTGAACATTTCGTGTCGATGAAACGTCACATATGTATGTGCGAGTGTGTATGCCTCGCCTCTGTTTGGGTCGTTCTCGCATTTATTTTTCACGCTCAAATAATTATAACAATTTGGCGAACGAACGCGCTGGAAACTATCATTAAAATGCTTTCACTACCAAAAGCTTCCGGGTGCGTCCTCGTTCCTTAAAGCTGCACAAATTTCAGGCGGCATAATGCACTTTTTGCATCGAGTATGCCTCGTTAAAGCGGCTTACAAATGACGCGCCTAATAGCAGACTCCATGAAGTGATTGTTTTTACATTTGCCAATTTAATTTCATGGATGTGTGCGTAGCACAGTGGGTCTCAACCATTCAATCACTAGTCAAAAAGTTTCCCAGGCTTTTTGCTTTTTTTTTCAAAAGTATATACACATAATGCAAAAATGATTGTTTTGATTGATGCTGTATTCTGGATTTAGGAATACCAAATGTAAATAAATATATATAATTATAAAGAATAATATAAATGTTCAATGTTAAAACTAAAATTAATAATATGAAGACGACTTAATAATAAGCTTAATATAATTAAAACTGTAATGACTAGCGTAATAATTTAAAAGTAACCTGATACTTGTAACGCTAGGATAAGGTTAATAAATAATTAAAATAAATAAATAAAATAAATAAAATAAATAATATAAATAATATAAATAATATAAATAATATAAATAATATAAATAATATAAATAATATAAATAAAATAAATAAATATAAACGTATCACTTCAAAAAGAGGCTGTTATGGACAAACATTGCTTGTTAAAGAAATGGGGAGTGAGAACGAATTCTCGTAGTCTATTCCTAATTTTGAAACATTTTTCAAGCTAATAAACGAGTAATCCTAAAGCTAATTGTATACTGTAGAACTGAAATTTCATAAAAAAATTCTTGTTTCGAAGTATATATTTCGAAGTATATATTTTATATTTCTCTAGGCATCTGTAGGTACATCTGTCGCAAGCTTTATTTTACATTTCAGTTTTTGTAGCCAACGGAGACTCCAAAAAGTCGAAAACAGTTCACTATGTTCGCAGAGAATGACTTTAAAATTGGCCTTTAAAAAGTATTTTAAAGATTACAAATTAATAGACATATGTATGTGTATTGCGAAGGCGTTTATTTATATTATGAATATAATACCAAGAATTAATTCTACCTGTTGAACGACCAATAACACGGCTATTATTATTATTATTATTAGGATAAGGTTTTAATTTTTAGCATTCTTTTTTTTAGCATTCTTGTTAAGTTTGTAATGTAATAGTTAAATGTTTTGTTATGGCCACAGTTGCTGACCGATTCCTTGCATTAATATATTAAAAAACAAGAAAAAAATAATTAATTGTAGATCAGATTGTAGATGTTAGATCATCACCACCTGGAACCTTTACTCATTCCGCAGGTCAACTTTTTCGGTAACTAAAATCAGTTAACCATCATCAAATAAAAAAGTTAGCGGAAACTCTTCCCGTTTTATATATGGAACATCGATATGATGTGTCGATGGGCATGAATCCTATTATCAACATTTCACTTTGGCAAGGATCCTTTTAAGTTCCAGAAGTTAACATCTTCGCTTCAATATTTCCTCAGACATATGAATATTTAATCTAAAAAAAAAGTGCTCATCAGCCATTATTCAGTCAAGCGAATGTTCCTACTAGGGTTGTATATAAAGTAAAAAACAATCGATATTTTTCACAACCGATTAATTATTTCAATTATGTTCAACACTAAACGATATCCATATATAGGCATCCAATAAACAGCTATTATATTGACTATTTTTATTCGTTTTTTATTTAAATGAATCACAAATTTCAGACTTCAGACATTGAGATACACTTACGTGTAAATACAACATATGTAAGATCAAAGATCGTATTTGTAAATATCAAGAATAGGGCATACCAGCTTATAGTGGAAAAGCAATGAATCGAATTCCAATGTTTTCCAGTCTTTTTAGAAACAGAAGCCAATTTACCAAGATTAATCAGATACTTTTACTGCATTAAAATGCTGCCGCTTTCGGAAAACATCTTTAGACTAGATGTTAGGATGGCAGGAATTTAAAGGATACTATAACACCAGTTTTATTTTAAGGAGTCAGCCCGACGCCAACTGGCGTTAGTTTACTTTTGAATAGTTTTGCAGAATTGAAGACCATCAGCTTTAGATGTTTTTGCCTAAATATCGATGATTGCGGATATTATGGAAAAATCGATAACAAAAAAGCTTCGATGATGTAACACAGAAAGTGGTTCCCCAACCCTTGCTTCAACCAATTTGTTCACCACTGTGCGTAGACGTAGGCCTCAACTCGCAGCTTCCAATGCTGCCAGCTGCCCAGCTCCCCAGCTGCCCGATTGTGCTGCAAAAGTGCTAAACAGTTGACTGAATTATTGCGCTGCACTCATTGCACACAAACAGACATAACTACACACAGATATAAGTACATATGTACATACATACATTAATATGTGTATTTGTGTGTGCAGTTGCTGCAAACAAATGAACTGAAGCGTAGATAGCACAGGCTGTTCGTCCTGTGCCAGCAGCCTCCTCTTCAATGGATGGGAAATGGATGACCCAAGCCTGGTTGGACCTCAGTTCAGTTGCTCAGTCGCTCAGTTGTTGTCTGAAACATAATGAAAACTTTTCGATCGAATGCACTTTTACTGCCAACGACTACCAACTCTGCCTACCAACTGCAATGCAAACACATAATTGTTCGTATGCTCGCTATATGGACCGGCAACAACAACAACAATAACAACAACAACAATAACAACAACAACAACGACAACAAGCATCAACTACTTTACAAATATGTGTCCGTGGCAATTGCATTTTAAAGCCCATACCCGTCAATAAACTGTCCGGCCACAATTTTTTCACATTTGATTGCCATTCACTATGGGCTGATATATGCATACATAGATACATACATATATCTAGAAAATGAACAGCTGACTGCGCAATATAATGATGTTTCTCATACGCGAGTACATACATACATACAATGCCATGTTCTGGAAACGAATTCAAAAATATATTTCAATTTTGTAAAGTTCTTTAAACTGAAAAGAATACAACCGCTTTTTAAATCGCTAATCTCTTGAAAAACTAAAGCTAGCATATGCAAATCTTCAGCCATTAAGAGTTGAGACTAATTTGTGCCTTCCTACATTTAATCTTCTTTAATCTCTTCCGAAATAAAACTAAAACAAGAATTTCATTCCTGTGTCTTGGTAAAAAGTAGAGCCATAAACTGAATCGACAAATGTAAAGGCTAGACTTTGACAACTGAAATCTATAGATATAACTATATATGAAGAGAGCTTAAAGAAGAATCTTGAAGAATTATGAAATACACTCCTCAAATAACTGTACAAAATAAGAATTGTAGATGATTATTTTCTATGATTCTATGGTGAGCTCGTGAATCAACTATTGCTTTTAAATAAATAATAGATTTGAAATGTATTAAATGTTGAAGCTCACGAGGGTCCATGTTTAATAAATGATAAGAGCCTTCTGATGGAAAAAGTTTAACAGAAAATTTTACAAAAATAACATTCTTCTAAGATAAAGAAAATTGTTCCTCATTATAATGCGTGTGTGTTAATCCAACAATACTTTCAGTTTTTCATTCAACGGGTGCTCTCTACAGTACTAGAGTTGAATTCATTATAATTGGAATCCTAACATCAACCAATAAAAATTCGAAGAAGTTAAAATTTTCAAACTACTTAGCTTCCAGACAACTATCTTCTAATCACAAAAGTAAAAACAAGATGGATTCAACAAATGCTGTTCGTTTGTCATTCATCTGTGTAGATCTACTACTGATAGCAGTACTAGAATGGAGTTCATTCTTTCTGAGCCCAATTTTAAAAAAATTGTCCTTCAAAGATCAAACACTGAACATTTAAGGAAAGTAAAGCCAGTTGGGTAATATTTTCTGATATGCGAAACAAAATGTTGTGGGAATAACTTTATTTTAGATTATAATGAAGATCATCTGTGCTTATCGAAATATTGAAAATGTTGGCCATAAAATCGATGCCTGCTCACCTGAAGTTGAAAAGTAGAGAGCTGCCAGAATTCAAAGTACTCACCAGTTTGCCAGTCTTGGAAACGCATAAGCTTTGCTGATCGATGACCACGACAAGGGATTTACGAGTTGCCTAACAAATATCAAAGCCGAGCTAGATTCTATTCACTTTAAAGGAGGCTGGACGATCTGTAAAGTCGATCATCGACCTCAAATGGTATTGAAAGTACGCGAACTAGAAGAATTGCCAGGCATTTCAAAACGTGCTGTAGCTTGGGTATCAGCTTTAGACTTAGTTAATACATACATAGTTGAAAAAACAGAAGTAAGATTCCGGAATAGAAAGCTCTAAAGCTAAGAACTGGAGTCAACTACTATGACCCTTTCATTAAGGATCGAAGGAACACATCAGTTGGAGATGATAAAGCTGGCTAAAGCTTATGTTCACACTGTGTTAAAAGACGCCGAATTTTTGCATCGATTTATATCCCTAAAAATATAGAGTCCCAAGAAGAAAGAAAAGACTTTATTGTTTTTTGATTTTTTTAATTTAAAGTGTTATCTTTTCAGTGTAATTTTGTAACAATTTTGTGATGTAATTTTGTTCAGTGTAACTATGTTAGTGTAACTATGTTGAGTGTTTTTCGTATAACTTTGTTTAGTTTATTGATGTTTTTAAAAAAAAGCGGAGGGCGAAGGAAAGTGAGACTGCTGATCTAGAGCTGAAATAGCTAATCAAAGCATGAAATTATATTTATTAGTTTTAAAAATCTGATATTCAAATTGAAAGGCCTTACCAAGTGTGTCGTGTGAATGTCCAGTGAATGTCCATCAGGGCTGATTGAGTTGCAGTACTGAAGTCAAAGAATGTGAATCAATGGCCAATTAATATTGCAAATGTGAATTCTACGAATGACTTACTATTTCTGCTGGTTCGATTGAAGTACTTGATAGGCGTGTAATTAGTTTAAAACATACATACATTATTTTTCATATTTTTCATGGACTAGTGCTTTTTCGCAAATCACAACAAGAATATATATGAGCATAGCTAAGTATTACAATAATAAATAAATTGAATAAAAATTAAAACTGATGCTTACTTGTGCTCGTGTATCTGGCTGGCTTAGCAAAGCTTCCCCACTCTCCAATTGTCGAATTCGAAGACGATGAAGAACGTTTTACGCGTGTAAATCGAGTTTTAAAATAAACCATCAACGCACCTGCAGCTATTAATTAATGAAAGATTTCAAAAGTCGTACAGCTTCGAGAAATTAAAATATCTCACTTGTTCATTTGTGTATGTATAAGCGCGGTGAGTGTGTTGGATCCATACTGGGTAAATAGGTATATTGGAATTAACATTGTATTCATTAATTAAAGCACTCTTACGTGTGGATGATTTCGCTGTGATTTCCAGATGTAGATCGTGCTGTTTCTTTGTCCCAGTGGAGAAGATCTGTATGTATCCTGTATGTGGTAATCCTCAAATTAAACGGGTGAGATGTAGCGATATGTCCAATTGGAAAACTGAAAAACATAAAAAAGCGATTAGTAAGTAACGTAAATCTCGGATTATGTGGAGGCATTTAACAAGATCAACTTTGCCTAAGATACCTTTATAAGGCAGTGTTTGGTACTAAGAATGCTTGCAGTACCGATTGTTTCTCTGGCAGCTATAATATATAGCATGTATATGTATAATACACCAGTTTCTATGATTATTTGTAATATCTATACTCACAGAAGTATTCTTACCGGTGCTCAGGCAGACGAACGAGCAGGCGAATTTATATATATATATATTTATATCCTGTCACAATACAGGTGTTAGTCCCACAATTTGGTTGCTTAAGTATTATCGATAACGATTGAGACTCACCATATCATTGTTAGTGGACTGACTGACTCTCCTTCAAAAGGTAAAACGTTAATCAAATAACAGCTGTACGCCATGAACATGACTTACTTTGTGCATTTATGGAGCAATATGAAAAGAAAATATTATTTTTTATTTTTTTAATCAATTTTTTTTTTTTTTTTTTTTTTTTGAAAAGTTTTTCGTGTTTTATAAAGAATAACAACTTTTTTCTTAAAATTAAAATTTATTTGAGAACTTTACGCTTACGAACTAGGGGAATGACTGAGCTTTGTGTGAAAATGTTTCGGGGTGCCTCGACATTTAATGTGATTTGAAAAGCATAGGCCACTAAGTTGGAGCTACAGGGTGATACCTCAGCCTAAAATACAGGGGTAGTCCTGAAATGAAAAACCAAAGCCTAGCTATAATTTGGCTTTTTACTTTTCAATACAATTTTAACATTAAAGCCACACGATAGAAATGAAATTTGTTCACACAATGTCTCAATTTGGCAGAGATATTTACTTTATTTGCGTAAAAACTTAGATAAAGCACAACACATCTAAGTCTTCTGTTAAAGGACAAGCGAACCAATAAATGTATTCAAATTTCTTTCAGAAGTCTTAAGAATTTTGAAAAGCCTAAAAATGTTTATATGGAACATACGAAATAAAGATGAGTCTTTAGACAGAAACCACGTTGCAGGAATAATCAAATCCCAACATAAGTATATTGCTCGTAGCTCAGCAAAAATATATAGACAGCAATATTTAAAATGAGATATGAATCACATAGTAGATGGCACATATATAATCACATGATATATGTGAAGAAAGTTGTTATTTGTTGAGGTCTAATTCAAAAAATAAAAATATTTGGAAATTAAAGTAAAAACTAATAAATTATAACAACATTTATTTACAGAGAATATTTTCCTGTTAAACAAGAGTGGATTATAATATTTCCCTGTTAAATATGTTCAGCTATGCTTTTTGTAAGAATATTCTTAGATTTTTCAAGCATCGACTTAGTAGATCATCTTTTAACCAAGGAACTTGTATCTAGTGAATAAGCCTTTTTATTAAAGCACTATATCTAGTGACTTGCAAGATAAATGTTTGATTATCTTTTGTCAAAAATGTTGCGTGAAAAGCCACACCTCAATTGAAAGAACCCATAAGATCTCTATTTGGATAATAGACAGCATCTAGAAACCCTTTTCTGGGTACATTATATTAATGCACTTCCTGGACGCTTAGTCCAAGCACTGATAATTCAATATCTCTATACATCTAGAATAGGTAATAATTTAAAACTCTGCTTATCTAATATATAGTATATACTCTGAGAGTAAAGTTGAGAGCTTGCCTTTTAACATCAACAATTAAGTTAGGCTTAGATGTCAGCAACTCTTAAAACTCTTTAGCCTGGAAATAATTTACAACCATGGCTTTTGTTACGTACTACAATTTTTTGATACGGCTGAGTAAGTATTCCTTATTATGAGATCTTAAGACTTTGAGAGATGCTGTGTCCTTAGATTCGATTTTATTCGGATTATAAGGATTGTGATTGTGTAATTTATTTGATTAAGCTTGGTATCTATAGTAGAACTAAAAATGTTATCTAACAGAGCAAGCCTCAACTATGCGGCTTTAATATAACACGACTTTTTTCAGCCAGACAAATATTATAGTTAAAACTAGAGCTGGAAAAACAATCGATGGCACTATCGATGTATCGATGTTTTTCCAACTCTATTTGGAACAGTCGTATTTGTCAAAATTTCATTCATTTGGGGCACTAAAACAAGAATGTATAATAGTCCAAAAACTCTCTCTCTCTCTATCTTCAGCTACAATTTTAACCCCTTCCTGTACAAATGAGAAACCCGTGAATTCTCTTTTAACTCATAAATCTTCGACAAAGTTCTGAAAACTAAACAAAGGTCAGCAGGCAATCAAAACGCGTTACACCCTCCATTTGGCTACGAAAACAATAATGATGAGTAGCTAGAAATTATCACATAAGTTTTCATTATCAGACAATGTTAGGTCAGCTCAAGATTATTATGCAGAAGGTTCCGCCACACACACAAATCGAACAATTAAAATTTTCTACCTGACCGCAACATTTAGAGCCCATGTCAGCGACAGCAGTCAAGAAGAACCTTTTGGAGCATTTGCTTCAAGGAGTTGCTGACCGCACACGTCTTGACCCTTGCTCGACCCCTGGCCCTTCAGCGGATAGAAAATATATTGCTGGTATCACCTGCAGACACACTTGAGGTTCGATTCGTTGAGGCATACTTAGAAATGTAAATGTGGTACGATTTGTAAGCATTTATCCTTTTGTTTTGTTATCGTCGATGAGTCCAAAAAAATTAAGATTTAGATGCGCTCGAATTGTGGTGTTGAAAGGTAAAAGGCGAAAGGTGAAAGGTCACTTAGATCGAGCCGCTCCAGACCAAATGCTTCAACAATTTGACTAATTGCCTCAGAATGTGGCACGCGGGCTTTGTTTGTTTTTTTTTTTTTTTTTTTTGCATACTCGTATAAGACCTCAGCAGTCACTCACACGACCTCTTTGCTGATCAGCAGTCGCATTAAAATGCAAACGGCTAACAAGAGAACTGCATTAAGGGCAGTCAGCCTGCCCTTTGCGGTTCTGCTAAAACAAAAACTTTGTTAAAATCAGTGTAAAATGGAAATTTGTTGCAGCCAGCAGTCGAAAGTGGCAATTAAACAAATTTCCGTTGTTGTTGCTGATGCTGCTATGAGGGCGTTCCCAGGCTAACAAAAAGTGTGTGTGTGTGTGTGTGTCTGTGAATTTATTTATTTATTTTAAAATTAACTGCCTGCTAGCCTTAGAATCAAGCTAACATATTTAAATGCCCTAAATAAGTGATTAGAATCAGATAATGCAATTCAAAAGCCACTGAGATTCGAACTAACAGAATAATAATGAAGTACAACAATAGAAGATTATTTACATATTACATAACAACACGAACCCAACTTCTCAAAAAACAACTAAATATATAAATAATAGCCACAGAGCATAAATAAAGCCGTGCATTCAGTTGAGTTCGATTGGTTGCAGTGAATGTTTTATATACTTGTATAAAGTCAGAATATCTCTTCTTCTCTGTGTCTCCCTTTTTATACCCTGCACCCAAAGAGTAAAAGGGTATACTAGTTTTGTGCGCATGTATGTAACACACAGAAGGAGGCGTAGGAGGCTTAAATAAATGTTTAAATTATTTTTTTTAAATGTTTTTCTTTTTTGTGGGAGTCGCTACAGGGAATTTCACTGTCGGACTTGATCGACTGTAGCGTTCTTTTTGTTTTCTTGTTGTTTTTGGCGAATCAAGACAGTCGTTCAGAGCTACAGCCATAATATACTTAGTTGCCTTAGTCTTGGTAGATCTGCAACATGTTTAGAAACTGACGTACGGGTCTTCAGCAATGCAGCTTCGTCATCAACATGCCAGCATTTATTACAATAGTTTTTTATTGAGCTAAAATAATATTTCAAATATATCATCGTATTAAATATTTACATAGTTTGTATTAAAAAGGCAATTGATTACTATTATCATTTCTCTCTCTCTGTAAAGCAGTTTTCCATTTAGCCGTAATCAACACTTTCATATTATGATATTTAAGTATTTGTAGCAATGTCATGCTGCCATTCTTTTTCTCTATTCATTCCTAGATTTTTCTTAAAATCATTTTTTCCAACGCCTAATAATTTTTACTTAAAAGTTGATCCCTCTATACAAATTTCAACATTGCTTACAATATATTTGAAACATCGAAGTCTTTTAAATCATAGTAATACCTTTCTACTCCTCAAATATGCAAGCGAATTTCTGAAATCAGTTAATTGTGGTATTTGGATAAATATCTGTATCTTACTCACAACATTTCTTTGGGCATTCATCAGCTAGTCTTCATCTATTCTCTAGCTATTCTTCAATATCAATATCTAGTTGAGTTTCTGACCATTTGTTTATCAACTGATTGTAACAAGAAAAACATATAACCAGAAATACTAAATTCTGCCAACAGAAGTAATACTTTAACTTACATTATGTGGCTCTTTTGGGCCTGTGTATGCATGTCCTTCTGTGTGTGCACAACACTTATACAAATTGCCTACTAAACAATTCATCTCAATTTCGGCAAACATTTGCTTTGGCCCGCAACCATGGAAAAATCAATTTCCGTCTGTCCCCAAAAATGCCCGCCCAGCAGGGGGCCAGACCTCGTCCAATTGTGCCACGCCCACTCGAATCAAATATAATTTTTAACTATTTACGAGTACATTGCCATTTAGTACACATTTCCCATATCAATTATTGACGTTAATGCGCCGCACGGGCAATGCAAGCCAAAAAAAATAAAGAAAATGTGTGGGTAGCTCAGAACTAATGGCTTGTTTCTGCACTTCGAGTTCTATGGCAATGGTCGTATACGTATGTAAATACCAATTTCTTCTAGTAACATGAGCAACAAATACAAATACAAGGACGAGCATAAACAATGCGGGCAAATAAATAAATGAAGAGCCTAAATCGAAATGTCCTTCCCGTTACTTGTGGTTAAAATCGATGAAGAGCTTACATTTTGCCAATACGCATTCGATTGTTTTTAGTAGGTGCGCTTTAAAATATCTCCCAAATAGTTGTAATCAGTCATAACATGTTGTCTATAATTATGTGAACTATCAATAGCCATTAAAATACAAATTTTAATTTCGAAATAGACGACAAGTGGCTGGCATTACAGGGAAAATCCAACATTTGTGATTTCGAATATTGAATTATTATTATGGGTAATGTTTTGTATTTTGTAATTGTACTCGCACTCTCTGGTAGAGGATGTAAAAGCGACAAAGAGGATTAGGAGGAAGTCGAAGTAAAAAACTATATTTTATTATAAATTCTGCCTAGTAACTAATGGCCATAAGACTCCAAACTTTGTAAAATCGTAACGAAACAATAAATTTGCGACTGGATTGATTTTTTTAAACTATGTTAAATCTACAAAGATAGGATGGAGACGATAAAGAAAAACTGCCATATCCATGATTATTCGTGAAAGAGAAATGTAGTTGTTGAAATGTTTCAATTAATCGAATCACTTGATGACATACTTAAAATCCTGAAGTCAAAAGCACTGCACTGCACTTAATAGCTGAATCGAAACGAATTGAATTGAAACGTCACCTGCTCAAAGCAATCATGAGGTTATCAGAAATATTTTGGATTCATAGTCTCGGTTATAAGCAAATGAGCTTGTTCTAAAAAGGTTCATGCAATTCAGAAAGATAAGTTGTTGTATTCTAAAAATCACGAAACCATTAACCTGTATCCTTAGCACCTATCAAGAATTGAATCAGAGAAATATTTCCGCTAGAATCTGCTCCAAAAAAGGCGCAACCCTACCTTCTGGCTGTGAATATTCTTTATTATAAACTTTTAGGGAAATGCTAAGACATAGCATGCAAAGATTTTAAACTCTAAATATCTTGATTTTGTCTAGAGTTCAATTTTTCATATGATTTAGTCTTATGGAAATGTTCGAACGAAGCACATCATAAAATTGTGTTGAAAGCAAAATTAATATTTTAGTTTGTGTGTTTTTAAGTAGTTTATACAAAATTGTTAGGTTTATTTTACACATCCGGACAATGCCCGGAATAACACTAAGTGGTGAAAGTATTCAAACTGAGAACGAAGAATGTCATGAGAGTCAATCAAATGTTGATGACAAAGTCTCAAAAGTTGAATCCAACGTAGGCGAAACGCGGGAGGAGAAAGAGGCTGAGGACAATGATATCTTTCCATATCGGGAGGGCGTAGAGATGAAACTACAACCCAAGCCTGCCAGGGTGGCATATAAGAACTACTTGCTGGACTATCAACTCTGTTTCCACCAGTTCAAAGGCAGGGAAATGCTGCAAAATGCTGCAATATTATGGAATAAATTAAACGATAGCCAGCGAAAGCTCTTTGACGATGTAAGTCTTTAAATTATTGCGAAATATATATATATATATATATAGTATATATATAAACCAAAAAACAAAAAAATGTGTATTTACAGAGAGATTATGAGTATGGAAAGACGATTAATATTTTATACGACAGCCACCGCAATTGTTACTCCGACAATAACATGAACTCGGCTTTTAATTTGAGATCGTCGAAGAGCAGCAGTACAGAGAGCAATGCGAGCACAGGAGATAGCAACAACAGCAATACCAGCAGCAACGACGAGAACAAGGAAGGGAGCAGAACCGATGAGAGCGATGGGACCGATGATAACGACAAGAGCGATGAGAATGAAGAGGGAGAAAAGGACGAGGAAAATAGGCAGGACACTGATGACGGTTCAGATACTAAGGCATGTTGTCCCCACGACCATAATCACGATGGTTGTTGTCCGGTTAAAAAGAAAAAACCAGCCTGCAAGAGGAAACCGGCATGCCCCAAACCCAAGCCTAAATGCCCAAAAAAAAGGAAGCCTCGATGCCCCAGGCCAAAACCGCGGTGCCCCAAACCCAAACCGAAATGTCCTAAAAAAAGAAAACCTCGTTGTCCCAAAAAAAAGAAGCCACGTTGTCCCCGAAAGAAGCCACGCTGTCCCAAACCAAAGCCTCGTTGTAAGCCAAAAAGGAAGCCTGCTTGTAAGCCATGCTGTGGATAAGAATCGACAGAGGTCGACAGATTCTTACGAGATACCTGATGACATCAAGGCAACAGGAATACGATACCAAAAATAAATCTTACAATATTTGACGAACCCACAATAACAATTACTTCCTGGATACAGACAACTTTTACATAAAAGGATACTGCCTTTTAAAAATGAACCAACTCACCTGCGCAAAGTCAGGGTTAAATAAATGCATTAAACCTAAACATTCTTCCATAAATACATATACTTTCTTACTATTTGTATAGGACTTTCCCGCTTCAGCTTCTGAAAATACTGCCGAAGGAATTTCACAGGATTTTCGGGACGACGAACGCATAACTGGACGCAGCAATCTTTAAGAACGCGTTGTATTCCATGCAAATGTTTTTTTTTTTCAACAATAAAATATATATGGATAACGCAACGTTTTAAGATTGAGACTATGTGCAAATTTTAATTTTAAGTTATATTTTAGCTGTGTTGTTTTTGTTCGTGTCTTTTCGGAATATGAAACGCGGCAGTCAAACAGAAAGCACCGACTACGTCAATCTCAATTTTTAAAATTAAAAATAGTAAATAAATATTAAAAACCTATTAAAAAAAATGTAATGTGTATTCTTTCAAAGATTATATAAACCAAATTTGACGGTGAAAAAATGAAGATCTTTCAAACAAACTTTGAAGCTCGTTTTCCCCCCTTTGGAGCACGAATTTTCCAAAACTTCTCATCGCAAACCTCCGCTATGAAAGGATACGTGAGCCCCAATTTCAGCTTGTGCTGTGCGTTGATCACCAATCTGTCAGTCAGGACAAACTGTTTTATAATATATAGAGATAAGTGCTATGTGTATTTCGAACAATTTTAGTCCTATTTGATAATTTACCTTTTAAGTATTGTTATTTCTTAAACTTGTCTAAGAAAGTTTATATTCTATTCACACTCTTCTCTCTCTATATGTACACAATTATAAGCTATTTAAATAAGTTATCACACAAAATATATGAACAATAGCCATCAATGCTTTTTCATTACATTGCCTTTTATTTTGCCCTTTTTGTTGTTGGATAGATATAGAGAAATATCTTAAGCACATACACGCGTCCAGCATTCAAGACAAAGGGAACAACTTTAAGAACAATTGACCCTTGATGTCTACAGGTTTCAGAAAATACATGTTTAAGTAATGACTCAGACGCTGAGACAGCCATTCAAGCAGCCAGTCCTCCTTGGGCCGCATGCCATGCCACAAACACACAAACTCTTAGAAGTATATATGCAATATACTTGTATACTCGCACTGATATAGATCGGCTGCACAAACCTGCACAGCTTGCATTCAGGCGGCTCTGCTCATTTCCTAATCAATTAAATATTCCCATTTCTACACCAATGATTGAATAAATGAATGAATTACTGCGCTCCGACCCAGAGCCAACAAAGGCCTCAGTCCACAGCCGTCTTTTGTGACTGCGTAATTACATCTACTGAATGCCGCAAAATGTAAAGGACGGAGTAAGGAATCTGTCATTTCTTGGCAGTCCAATGTCTTTGACCAGCCCAAATGCAATTTAGACTTGCCTTATTCGCATGCTATGCAAATTTAAAAAGAATAAAGATATTAGTTCGTTTTCTTATACTCAATAGCCTGTACTAAAAAGTCTAAAGATAAAAAGTTTGTAACAGGGGGAATGAGACGTGGCAGTCTAAAAAATTAAATCAATTTAGACTTGTCCGTCTGTTCGTCCATATGAACACAGAGAACTTCTAAACCTAAACACCTAAAGACCTAGATACCTATTTTGTTTATAAAGATATTCTAAGAAAATCTGATATTTACTAGTTTTATGTGGTTTTATCAAATTCTACGGATGACATACATATGTAATACAAAATATCATTAACATCCATTGATTGTACAATGTTCCCCCACTCCCTCGCTATTAATAATTTCGCATAGCTCCCTTAAATCTTGAAGTTTTACTCAGATTTGGCAATTACGTTCTGGTAGTTATTGTGCGTCTGTTTGTCAAGTTTTATCTTTCAGGTGCAGAGTCGATGAACCTTCCATCTTGTCCGCGCTTCAAAATCTATATATACCCAACTGCGTCCTGAAATTCTGTGCTGATGCCCTTAGCAAACCACTTTATAGACTATTCTCCTTATCACTTGACAGATGCCGATTCCCCGATATCTGGAAAAGTTCTTACATCTTCCCTCTCTATAAAAAAGGACCTAAATCTGACATTGAAAATTACAGAGGGATTTCTAAACTCTCTGCTATCCCCAAACTTCTTGAAAAACTGATGACCTCTCAGTTACAGCATCATTGCAGGTCCATAATTTCCCCTTTTCAACATGGATTTATGAAACGCCGCTCTACCGCAACAAATCTCCTTGAATTCTCATCGTTCGTTATGAATGGGTTTTTAGCTAAAGCCAGACGGATGTTGTATACACTGACTTTAGCAAAGCTTTTGATTCTGTCAACCATGAGCTATTGATCCATAAGCTGGGTCTTTTGGGATTTCCCAAAAATCTTATCGTATGGATATATAGTTATTTGTTTGGCAGAACCCAACGTGTAATTTTTAACGGCGTACTGTCAAAAGCTATTAAAGTAACTTCGGGGGTGCCACAGGGTAGTCATTTAGGTGCTCTACTGTTTACTCTTTTTATAAATGATCTGCCATCATCCCCAACTTACTCTCGTGTACTAATGTATGCCGACGACGTAAAACTTTGCCTCTCATATAACGATGTTCAGTTTCATGACAATTTGCAGCTTGATCTCAATGCCTTCCAATTGTGGTGTTCGCGGAATCTGTTGAACTTAAATTTTGTTAAATGCAAGCTAATGACGTTCCACCGATGCAAGCCTCATTTCATTTCATATTATTTAAATAACTCTCCTGTAGAACGAATTTTCACTGTTAACGACCTAGGTGTACTGTTTGATGCTAAACTTTGTTTTAATGATCACATCTCCACCATTGTTACTAAAGCAAAGGGAACTCTAGGCTTTTTAAACGTTGGGCAAAGGAATTTGATGACCCCTACACAACACTAATTTTGTATACGGCTTTGGTGCGGCCTACCTTAGAATATTGTTGTAACGTCTGGTGCCCGCAATATGAAATACATAAAAATCGCATTGAATCTGTTCAAAAGCAATTTCTTTTGTTTGCCTTACGTGGTCTTTGATGGAGTAGAACTGACCCTCTACCATCATATTTTCACAGGCTACAATTGTTAGGTCTTCCATCACTTGCTAGCCGCCGGATTTTATTAGGTGTTATTTTTATACATAAATTAATTAACGGCGACATCGAGTCTTCGGTGCTTGTCAGCCAAATTAACTTTACGGTACCACAAAGACCTTCAAGATTTTTTGTTCCCATAAGCCTAAATCGCTGTACAAGCAACTATGCTTTGCACAGTCCGTTTCGGGTTCTGTGTAGCAACTACAATAATTTGAGTCATCTCTTTGGCCATGAGAGTTCGGTTAGTTCGATTAAATCTTGCTTACTTTATTTTCTGATCCGGTCTGAATCTCTTAAAATCGTTTGTAATTCTATTTAATTTAAATTTTTATTTTTTTTGTTCTTTTCCAATATTTGAATGTATATCTAGATTGTAATTTCTTTTCTTTATGTTTAACATTGACAGTTATTTGTCAATTAAATAAAAAAATAAACAAATAAATAACAATTTTAGGGGCAGAAGGAAGCCGTAAAGTATATCTCTTCACATGGGTACAGAGTACTTAAACTATATTTGTAAATAATTAGAACAAATATTAAGCATTTAATTTTAGGGGCATTCCAATTTCTAAAAAGCCAATCAAACAACAATTTGTTTCTGCCCGAAATAAAATACTTGTCTCTTCTATACTTTACTGTAAATATCAATCATGTCCTGTGCTGGAGTGCGAGATCCTTTGTGGCTTATTTCGCCAACAATTTCATTGCAGGCGTTGAGTGGTGCTCTACCTTTTTGCCCGCTCAGCATCAAGTGTTTTAAGCACCTTTTTCGCTAATTGACATTTTGACATCAATTACCGCACTTTCTAGTATTTGTTGTTGCTCTTGCTATGCTGCTGAGTGCCTTGACAGCATTTTGCGGCAAGTGAAAAGGTGGCAAGCATGCCATACCTAAGATACATACATACTCGTATATGCTTATGTTCAAGTATTTGTAAAATATGCATAATTTATGTTAGTTGGCCCAGAACTGAAATTTCTAAGCTAAATTTAAAGGCAGGCTCACAGGCGACTGATTTGAGGCGACTGGCCGGCGCCACTTGAGATACAAAACTATCTTAAATGTTAGCTGCTGAGCACAGCGCGCCAAGCTGACAGGCTGCCAAGAAAAAACCGAATATGTGTTGTGCACAGGGTCAGTGAAATAAATGCGAGTATATAGAGCAGGACATTCTAAAGGAATCCATAAAAATTGTTCGTATTTAATAATGAATAGTTTAATGAATAAAATGAACAAACCCCCTTATTATAAACAAAAGATCAGCACAATGCATTAAATATATTAAAAGATAAAAGTCTGCTTTCCATTCAAATAGGACTAGATTTTGTTATTAAAAAGATTCCAAAACATTTTAAAGTTCAACAATTTTGAAATTTTAATAGCTCTTCCACATCCGTTTTCAATTATTTTCATCATGGACTTTCTTTGGTTTCCACAGTATCAATGGACATTAAATGTAACGGTGTGAGATTAGAATTCGAAAACTATGGGAATATAAATCTCTTGAATTTAAAGTATACCTGCAGTTTTGTGTTTCTAGAAATAGTTTAATATTTTTTGAATATTTTAATAATTATTGATTTACACAAACTTGGAAAATTTGCGTAAATCAAACTTTAATAACTGTGTTAAGCGAAACATTTTAAGCATACTATATAGTATTTGAACCAATTTATGCTCGGAGCACCCTATTTTTCGTAAATTCTAAATCGATATTCCCCACTTACTTAGTTTGTTGGCCTTACAAGCCCATCACATATGCATGCTGCTATTGAAATCGCAGCACTCGCAGCAGCTACTATATAACTACAAATAGCTAGACAGCAAATGTCATTGAGTTTTAACACAATGTGAAAAAAGGAGTAGCTTTTCAACGGACCGCTGTCAAAGCGCCCAACGCCTCTTGTTTCAGGGCTCTGGTTGCAAACATTTTCAAGTCATTTCGGTAATGGAATGACTTTTGAATATTTGAAGAG